AGCTTTTATAGAAAACTTAATTTTACGTGAAATCAAAGTACATAATTTGAAGCCCTGTTTTCGGGCTACAAATTCCATTAAAGTATAGTTCAGTAATCTTTAAATAGGATGGAGGAAAACCCCGTTTTAAATACTTTCAGGCCGTCGGTAAGATACGACTGTTTAATTCCTGTTCTGTAAATAGTTTTTCGGTTAACTTTCTGGCATAATCACCGTAACTCGTCCCATCAATATCCAAGAGATTTTCATTCTCATAAATCTTAAAATAAAAAAACACAAACTAAAACCTAGGATTTATAATGGAAATAATTTCCTTATCATTTCAGGTGGACGTTGAGTTTGACTTCCATCTTGATATGCGTCGAGTTCTCTGTTCGTCTGCAAGAGAAAAAGGCCAACGGATTAGTATAAATAAACTAGGCTATATCTTTGAAGAACACTTACTGTTCCATTCATTTTAGTCCATTTATCCATCTTTTTTGATAATTCTGTGGATCGTTGATCGGTTTTTCGGGCCATTATTCCAGTGTGCATATCCAGAGCTGGGTAAAAACGTGCAAAATCAGCACCTGGAATGCAAGAACAAAACAAACATTCTATTCCGACCTAAACATAGAAGTGAAAAAACTGACTAGAAGATCACTGCTGTGCTCACATTTTTTTTTTATTAGATTATTCTAGGCGTTTAAACGACAAAGGTTGCTTAGCAACGAGTGAAAACAGCACCGTACCTGATGTCTCTTGAATTTCAAATTCATTTCGTCTTTCACTAAATTCTTCTTCATCTTCATTAATTAACGTACCTCGATCGACTGGAGATCGTGAACGCTGTGTACGTGTATGATTTGAAAGATCTATTCCAAATTAAAACAAACTTCTTAAAGGCAAAAAATATACAAAAATGCCTTTTCTAATTTACCTTCTAATGGACGACGATAACCATTATCTCTCATTGCTTGACTTACTGGAGGAACGGGTCCACGTAACGAAGAAGTTTCATTTTGACGACGCGTTGACATATTAAATTCATCCAGCTGTTCATTCTCCGTCTCTTCTACTTCAGTTTCCTCGACTGAATCTTCTAGAACAGAAATAAAGAAAACATTACATAAAAGCACTAGATATCGAAGAGGTTTTCTTACTACCTTCGTCTTGTTCTTCCAAAGACGACTGCGACTGTGATGCTCTCTTCAAACGTGTCTGTTCGGCCATACAAAGTCCAAATGTACCTTCAACGAAGAAAATAAAAGACGCAAAAGGAGTTATGACTAATAAATGTTCACCATAGGCCGACACAGGTGTAACAACGAAATGATCATTAAATCGGAATAAAATAGAATGCTTATCAAACAAACCTGTACATACAATTTTGTGAACAATTTTATCTTTTCTCAAAACGAAAAAATAATAATCCAGTATTTCTTTTAATTGATTATAATATTTCGAACCCTTGAACAAATCACTAAAAGCACATTTTTTCAGATAACTTTCCGTAAGTGCGAAAACTTCTCCTTGAAAAGTAAAAAAATTTCTATAAAGCCAAAATTCAAATTCCTTTTTTCCCGTGTCAACAAAATATTTTACCACATAACTTTCGGATTTTCCTCTTCTACTGTAACGAAGAGAATGGAAAGATTCTTTCTGAGTTACACATCGTCTATACAGAACGATACAAGTGTCAAGTGATTTACAGTCGCAATATCGATTATGATACTTTTCTATCATCGGATAATAAGATGCTTTGTATATGTCCAAGTCTAATGGGCCTATCCATGTTGTTGTTAATGATTGCTGTTTTTGATTTTGTAGACTAAAATTTATATTATAATAGTATGTAATTAGCTCGCCAAAATAACGAGTTCCATGTCGTTGTTTACTGACATGTCCAATCAGATCCTCCTGACCAAACGTTCCGATGTTACATAATGAGCCAACAGCATCATATAATTCTGGTAAATGGATTTGTACATGTAAAACAAAATTTTGTAGTCCGGTATAATAAAGCTCATGAT